AGAAAAGGTGGCGGAACTCAAACCTGGCCACGCCCTCATCAAACCCTAGGACCGCCCCTTTAGAGAACAGGAATGCAAGTAAAATTTGGGAGGGGCTATTTCCGGTGTGGGAGGGGCTATTTCCGGTGCGGCCGGCCCGGAAAAAGGTGCCGGAACGCGGTTCCGCCGCGTTCCGGCTGAAAAAAAGCCCTGGTATATACATTGATATTTATGTGGTATTGGTATATCCACAGTATTTGCCTCTAATCACTCTAATAATGTGTGAGTTTTGAATTAATAGCTTGATAACTATTCACATTATGGAAAATCTGCACCTTTATAACCTTAAACATTGAGTAAAAGATTACTAAGATTATTATTAGTCAAGAGTATCCTCAAAACCCAAAACTGGAAAGCAAGTATGGCGGGCCCCTTAGACCAATGCTTCTCACTCTTAGCCACTTTAAGATGTGTGGACTTTTTATCATTTATGGTGGACATGTGATAAGGCAAATAAATATTGGAGTAGGATTCATACATTAATGCAGAAAATTCTTAAAGTGAACATAAAGATTAAACCAGAAACTTTCCTTCTGGGTCTAATGGAAAGAGAACTGGAAAAAAAATGTGGAACTCTGATTTTATATATGGTGACAGCAGCAAGATTGCTCTATGCATAAAAGTGGAAGGATGCCTCAATTCTACCATTGTACCAAATGGTTACAAAAGCTGATGGAATTAGCAGAGATGGCCAAATTGACTGTGCTGATGAAAGAAAAGAACACAAGTACTTTTGTTTCTACTTGGAAACCATTTCTGGACTTTGTGCTTGAGGTGGGAAAAAATGATGTCATGATTTGGGTTTTACTGATTAAACTGATTTGCCGATACAGAAATGGCTAGTGCATACTACTATAGAAATGCAAAAAAATTGAGATTTGATTTTAAAATCTGGTTTTACTGCAACAGAGTCAGAAGTCAATGCCTTTTGTTTCTTCCCCTCCCTTTCTTCACACTTGTTTTGTTTTCCCTTTCTTTACTGTTGCCCCTTACTATTTACTTTTGTATTTTCAAATTTTATGTTACAAATGAATAAAACTAATAATAAAAAAGATGTGTGGACTTCAACTCCCAGAATTCCCCAGCCAGCAAGTCAGCATATCTTAATGTGGCTAAGATTGAGAAATGGTGCATTTGACTTTATAGGGGCTATAGATCCCAAACTCCCATGTTAGCACCCATATTGGGCACAGTAGGAGAAAAGGATTTCAGTACCACAGGGGACTTATTTTTAAGTCTCCAAACACAGTACTTATTTTTAAGTCTCCAAACACAGTACTAGAATTGAAGACATCTGCAGAGAAGAGAAATAATGTTAGTAATATATTGGAGCTATCTGAGAAATAATTTCTTCATTTTAATGAAGCAGCCCTGCTCAACCATTCTAGAGATGCTGGAATAATAACTCTCAAGAATAATAGCCAATACGGTAGCTAAAATTCTGGGGTCTGGAAGCCCGCTCTGCAGGGTAGCAGGGTGAGGATGAACTTTAGATTTGTTGATGTAATTGCATGCAATTAAGAAAAGGGATATATAGTCAATATATATATATGAATTTGGTTGAATGGATGAATGGACAGATAGTGTGAAATTCAACCAATTGAGAATATTAGCTAAGGGATACTATTCAAAGAATCTAAGTACATAAACTCATAAAGTGTTCTGAGAAAAAGCATTTCCAAGGACATTTAACTAATGAAATGATCTTCTTGCTTCATCTGTCCCTTGCTCCTCTTGATGAGCCTTTGACTGTTATCAGTTCATCCCACAGAGAGATAATTAGCAAATGGCTTTCTTATTCTCCCTTTCTTTCTTCTGGCAGGGGATCCATTTCAAAAAGACTCTCTTCATCTCTTTTTCTTTTTCCCTGAGTGTTATTAGCTTGCAACCCGAGTTGGTGGTTTCCTGAAATCTTACCTGGTAGATCGATAATGCTAATTACTTACTGACCTCTGCAAAATTAATTCCGCTGGATGCCAGAAGCTCAGCCATTTGCTTTAAAGATTTCCCTGTCCTATCAATTTAGTTCAAGCTTGGAATTATTCATTTTTAAGCCAGAACCCTGAATTTCTAACTACTGCTTATCAGAAACAGTTCCTAGTTCAGTTGTTATTTTTCTTAGTGTTCGCCTCACATGGTTGCAAATTTTCTTCATTTCTGCAGCACGTTCACCTAGGTGTTATACTGAACCTATTAAGAAAGGATTTTGATGATCATTTGACTTATCGCAGAGTCTGATGCTGAAAAGAGTTGAGATGGAGTGACTGGCCGAAGATTTAGGATTAGACCCTGGGTCTCCCTACTCCTAGTCCAGGACCTTAACCACTGCATCACACTGGCTCTTGCAGCTCCTGGTTTAGTACTGCAACTCACACTGCTATTGGGATTATCTGAAGGTTCCAGAAAGTACACTAATTGAGGACTTACCCAGGAGAATGACAACACACAGCAGGATAGCAATTAACGCTCCTGTACTCAATCCTGCAGACGAGAGGAAAGCTTCTGCATGGCAGGTCCGCACACGGCCATCTCTTTCACATGCGCATACCCGAATGACAAGAGTGGCACTACTGCTGAGAGGTGGGACCCCTGCATCAGAGATGACAATAGGAAGGTAATATACATCCTGGATAGTCCGACTAAATTTTCTCCTTCGGGTCAAGATGCTGGCTGTATTATCTGTAGGAGCAAGGATGAAATCAAAGTAGTATTAACAAAGATGATGCAAACATACTTAGGATACATATTATCTTTCATTATGTTTTTCATTTTCAACTTCTTTTGAATATCCTGGTAACCCTTAGATACACACTATCATAAACTCTGGAATTGCCTGGATATGAAAGCCTCCTGATGTGTTTTGGGTCATTTTATGGATCCTGGGATGCTGTGAAAAAAGGCAAGGCTCACTGAAAACTGATTGTTTCTTTGAGATCTAACATGAATGTGCATTTTCTTAATTCAGATCCACGGGACTGAAGAGAAAAAGGTGTTGAGAGTGAAATGAAGGGAAGTGTCCTAACCCCAAAACACTGAAATAAGACTTATATGATACACCTTTAGCACTGGATAAGATGGTGGAAACTAATTATTTTGTTGAAGATAATTCAGTACCTAAAAAAATTCCTGAAATTAAAAATAATTCAAGACATAAACAAACCAATATCTTTGACCTGTTCTAATCCAGTTATACTTGACAATTAACATCCTTTCTTTAGCAGGACACAAAGAGGGAAGTATAGGGCAAACATGATTTGGGTCCAGTGATTAATAAGAGGTTCATTTTAATTAGAAGAAACATTTTGGATACATTTGATAAGAATAAATAAGCAAACACATGCATACAGATTTGCAAAGAAAGCATTAGGTTATGTGAGGTACTTCAGAATGTAAGAATAGATTCCTCCGGTTGTCTGACAGGGAACAGTGCTCTGATTTTTTTTCTCCATCTGGATCTTCTTTTACTTTTTGCACCTTTCTTTGACCTCCTTCTAAGATATATTTTTTTTCTGTTTACATTCCTTATTAATTTTCCCTTTTTTTTTCCCTTTGTGGTCTTAGGAATTTTTTTTAACTTCTTTAAACAACTTGAGCTGAAAATCAGAAGGATCCAGAATGGCTTCACTGAAGTGGCAAATAGGAATTCTTCTGATTATGTTTTGATTAACTAATATGCTCAGTTTATTAATTGTAACTGATTTGCTTCTTATGGTTAAACATTTTCTACATAACTTGCTTCATGGGAAAAATCTATATGGGTGCTAAGAATCAATACTGACTTAATGGCACATGGTCAATCCATCAATATAATATGCTGCTTATTTCACAACATGTCTTAATTATTTTCTATGTCTTATCACAATTTTGCCTAAACATTTCAATAACCTTTCGATAATTTTCCCTTTGGTGTCATTCTGGTTTAATGGTAATCTATGAGTTTATTGGAATAAATTAACCTAAAACAAATAAATGTTTTAAAAAGATTCAGAAACATCTTTTTCAGAAAAACAACTTTCTTCCTCCTTTTTCCTATTCCCAACGAATGCCACACAACTTCAGATTGCAAATATGGGAAGCCCCAGTCTTGACGTAGGACAAAATGTATTGTGTTAGCCAAGAAATGGGTTGTGAATATAATTGTTTCATCAGCACAATAGTACCTTCTTTCATATTTAAGACTGAGCTGCCAAATAAGAATAAATCTAAAGTAACATTTAAAAAAAATATTAATGTGCTCTTTCCACTGTTTATAATAACTCAATAGAGTGCTTTTTTACTCTGGTTCTTTGTGTGTGTGTGTTTGTGTTTTGTGTGTGTGTGTGTGTGTGTGTGTGTATGAGAGAGAGAGACTTGTTTACTTATGATGCTGCTCTATATGCTTTGATAATGATGATGATGTTTACCTGTGATTCCACCCTATTAACCTCTAAAATTAGTCACAAAATGGTCAGATGTTCCATAAAATATATAGCTTTAATAGGTAAGCTTGTAAGGATCAAAGATTGTAAACTCAAATTATCTACTTGTATCTTGCCTCATTTGGTTTAAGAATCTAAATAATTTAATCTAAACAATTTAAATTTAAATTAAGCATTTAAGAATACTGGGCTTCCCAAATCCAAGTAGCTACAATGCTAACTGGATTGGTACTCAGACTGCTTGGAAGTTTGTAACATTTGGGAATGGAGGGAATCTCTTATGTAGATTCCTGATAACAAATTGATTCCATTTCTTTCGGTAACCAATTTAAAAGCGTATTTCCCCCCAAATTTTTCCTTACTACCGAATTTTATCTTGGTAACTTAATAGTCACCACTCACAATGGTTTCAGATATGACAGTCATATTAAGAGAGTGTGTTTCTTGTTTCTAAATGCATTACCTATACATGAGTGGTTAACATTTAAGTCATTAATTTATAGCCTGTACATACACGGGTTTCTTCCACCCCTATCTTCCTACAAAAATCTGGGAGTAGCACCTGTGCTGGACAGCTCTATTTCCTCTGCATTTGTGTTTCCCTGAGGATTAATGGGATCATAAATGGAATCCAGCAATCTTCATTTTATTTGCTCTTATATACCACTACTGTATGTACAGAGGTAGTACAGAATTGTACTACAACCAGAATTGGTGATGGAACTTCCATTGCAAAATGATGTGGCTGTTAAGTGTGTTGCGCCTGATTTTGTGAACTTTTTTCCCCTCACAGTTGTTAAATTGAATCACATGGCTCTGGATCAAATCCAGCTTCCTCCATTGGCTTTGCTTGTCAGGACACCACCACCCTCCGAGAAGGTTGTAAATGACAATCACGTGACCCCAGGTCACTGTAACCATCATAAATACATGCTGATTGCCAAGCACCCAAACCTGGTCATATGACTATAGGGAACACTTGTCACCATTGTCATTCGCAATGGTGTCAATTGAAATAATAAATTAAAAAAAGAGCCTTTTGTAAGTAACCGGACACAATATATACCATATAATACATACATATTACTCATTTACATATGATGTCTTCTAATGCACATACCAACCCCCACACACATGGACATCTCTTCCAATCCTACGATTATATGAAATAAAGTTTTACTTAAGCGTTTATTCTTAGCACAAACCATGATGCTGGAGGAGGCTACGGTATATTAAGCATCAATTCTCAATAATTTTACCTACCTTGAAAACAGCTGTTTCATTCATGGAAAATTGGAGCTAGATAAAATCCTCTTTTGAGAGAAAGAAAATCAACATAGCTAGCTCTTTAGCTTTTCTCCGAATTTTTATTTATTTTTTTATTTTTTGTATTTATAGGCACTCAGCATGTCCTCTGACATTCAAACGGCTATCTCTCTGTCACTTTCTTGTCCTGACGAAGTCAACAACTGATTAAATATACACTTTGATGAATGGACAGATCATTCTCCATTAGTTTATAGATGCAGTATTAAACAATTTTCCAGTGAAAGGGCTGCATTTTAAACACATTTATTAGAAGTATAAAATCACAGTATGATGTTGCATGCAATCTGATTTCTAAAATACTGTGAAATACATTGCTCATCGTTATTTTTTAGAAGAATAAAACTAAAAATGAATAGAAAGCAAAGACTTGGGAAAATTGCATGGGAATACATAGCTTCTTTGTTATATTATTTAAAATAATTTAATCCAATTATCATTCTAAATTAACTTTAAGTAACTAAGAAAAAAGCCTAAAATATAGCATTTAATTAAAATCAAGATTTTTATAAATACATAAATTTGAAACATTTTAAAAGATACTAATGCATATTATTACTACTGAGGGGAATTCAGGTATAAATAAAAACTTACACAGAAAAAAACCTAAATTTTAGAAGTCAGATTTTATGGCCCGCAGCATTTATTGGGTAAATCTATACATAGACAGAGTTTACATTTTGTTTTTTTTAAAATAGAGGCACATCTGTTTGAAGAGTTTGATAAGTTCTTCTAATTATGTGATACACATGACTCTGCTGCTGTACACAACTGCTTAAAATATCTTTATATAGAAAACCAGGAACTTTAGATATAGATTAATTAAGAAGCATTTAAACATTTAAATGAATTGATATCTTTGTCAGGCATAGAATAGTATCTTTTTTTTTTCAACATATGATCCAGCATGTAGCAGCTTTGCAAAAAGGAAAGTCTATTTGAGGACTTTCACAACTTCACAACAAAACAAAACAAACAACAAACCAAAAAAACCCCACTCATTTGCCTTATTTTCTTTACACCACTTCATTATATAGAATAAATCCTTTGTTCTGTCTCTCCTTACTCATTCCCTCAGCAAAATAATAAAAGAGAACAAAATAAAATAGAAGAAAATCCCCAATACAATTGTCTATTGCACAAAAAATAGCTCCAGTCCCCTGATCATTTTGATTGCCCTTTTCTGCAGCTCTTCAAACTTGATAATAATCCTTTCGAGAGTGAATAATAAGAACTGTACAAATATTGGGAGTCTGGAGAGAAGGCATACTAAAGGAACAAAAATCTTCAGCTAGATTTTCTTATGAATACTTCATTTAGAAAAATAAATAAATAAATAGGAAAGTTGTATAGGAACCACACAGCTTTATAAATTCTCCATAAGAAGGACAAAATAATTCTTTTCTTCCTCTTGCTTATTCCTAGAACCTGAAGTTGATCCAGTGACAATGAATGATGGAAATTTCAGGAGAAGCAAAATGTAACCATATGGCCCCTGGTTAAATTGAGTCTTTGCCTACAGTAGGATATGATGGAGATTGTGAGAGGTGATTAAACAAGTTGTGGTTATCAGTAGCTAATACCCACAATGGCTCACTTGTGTTCCCACTTGCTTCTCTCTCCATTATTCACATCAGGAAGAAGAAAAACAATTATGCTTTGTCAGGTACAAAAAAAGAACAGGTCCATTCTGAAGAGCCAATTAAACAGATTTATTGGTACCAACAGAACAGAATATTTGTAGCTCAGGGTAGAACTGGTTTATCATATTATTGTAGCTTAGGGTAGAATTGATTTATTGCAAAATGCCTATGCATAGGAATTTTCTCAACTAATAGTTAGCACCTGCTTGGAGTTAGATAAGGTTCAACAGAATTCAAGGGGGGGCAGGACTTAGTCTGTTTGTGGTTACATACGGATTTTAGGCTGATCCCT